TCAGCGCTTACCCTAAACACACTTTGCATCAGCTGTCACTCTTCCCCTCTTAGCTACTCCTTGCTCCACACAACCCTCGCGTTAGAGGTTAGTCTCCACTCCTCTTACTGCAGTCTCAAAGTACAAGCAAGCTACCTACCTTTCTCTTCTCCTTTCTTCTAACTCTCCCTTTACCCTTTACTACCTACTTTTTAAACCATAAACTTTTTTTACTTTTACCTAACTCTCTTTCAAAAACCCTTTACTTTACTTACCTCTTTCTGAAACCTTGAAAAAAAACCCTAACTCCCTCTTCACAAACTAACCCTAATCTTTCAAACCCTTCTTACCTTTTTTTTTAACTTTTCCTTTTCTTCTTTTTACTCTTCTTAACTCTTCACTTTTTTTTCAACCTTACTTACCTCCCTCCTTTTCAAAAACCCTTACCCTTACTTACTCTTTACTCTTTACTCTTTACTCCTTATCTTTTTTAACCTTTTCACCCTTCTTTTAACTTCTCCACTACTTTAACCCTTTCACTCTTAACTCTTCCGCACTTTTCCTCTTTACCTCCTTAACCTTACCCTCAACTCTTCCTTCTTTTTTACTTAAAAAGCAAACCCCTTACAGCCCTTAACCCCAACAGCCCTTGCCCCTTGCCTCTTCTTCTCTTCTCCACACAACCCTTTCCCTAGCCGTTAGCAGTTAGTAGTTACTCTCTTCTCTCTGACTACCCCTTGCTCCCCACCACCCTTACCTCAGAGGTCAAACCTTCTAACTTACTTCTAAAACCCCTTACACTAGACCTTCAGCCTCTACTTCTCTTGCCTTAGACCTAACCTCTTAGCAGACCCAACCCTCACCCTGTAGCTCTTTAAACTTCTTACTACAGTCTGTAAGTACCTAGAGCTTACGTACCTTCCCTTCCCTTTGACTTCCTTCCTTTAACTCTCCAAGTCAACTCCAGACCTTAGTCCTTAGCTTTACTTGCTACCTTTGTCAACCCTTTCCTTGTCCTTCCTCTCCCTCCTTCTTCTGACTTTCCCTTTTCCCTTTTCCTTTACCCCTTAACCCTAACCCACTGTCGG